CCAACTCACTCACGCGCAGGCAGCATCACAGCCCCACAGCAAAACACGCACATGCTGGGGACACACCCACTCACAGACAGGCTGGCAGAAGCGCCCCCACAGTTGGAATCGCTGGTATATTCTGAGCCATCCCCAAGTACAGGGGTCTTGTTCACGACTTCTGAAGGCCGTTCTCCATTTTGGCACTTCACGGCCCTCGGATGTTCCCAGGGCAGCTGCACAGAGGGGAAGCGACTGGTTCAGGACCCACAGTTTGGGGTAGACGGCGACTGGAAGCTGAACTCCGGCTTTAATGTTTGGTTGGCGCCGCGGCAGTATGAAGTGTGGCTGTGGGTAGAGCACTGAGCCCCGTGGTATCTGGCTGGATGGTGCTATTGGAGTTGGGGGAAGGCTCACTTTGTTCTGCAGTTGGGAACCAAAGAGGGTGAATACTTTATCATAGAGCCTCGGTTTCCCCATTTGCTCTGTGTGGGTTTATGCTGTGGAACCAGACCAGAACACATGGTGGAGGGAAGGAGGATTTCTTCGGCTGGTCTCTCGGATTCCGTTTAGGGCTGTGCATCTCCTCCCAGGCTCTGAGCAGGGGAGCCCTTAATAACAGATAACACTAGCAACTGGCAGTTACTGTGCACCAGCTGTGGGCCAGGGGTTCCTGGGCTGACTAGCCAGTTGCCACCACATGTTGCTATGCGTGTTCTCCCTGTGGAAAGCTGCTCAGATCAGGCAGCCCCAGTGATGGAGATGGCCCGGGTCTCGGTGCTGCATTCTAGAGCTAGGTTGTAGTCATGGTGTCCTTCCTCTTAGTTCCACATCCTCTCCCAAGTTAGGAGGGAAGGTTCTGAGCTCTGACACTGGGGTACATGATGTACCTCCCCACAGGATTAATCCACACCCCTTGATTTCTCTCCAGGCCTTGTACAGCTCCATCAAAAATGAAAAATTGCAGTGGGCCATGTGAGTACCTGGGGGGGGGGGTTAGGATAGAGTCGGGGCCTGAGGAAGGGAGGGTCCGGGGACACCAGAGAACTGGGGCTGAGTGTACGGGAGGGGGTGGGAGGCCGAGACGCAGGAAGGCCACCTCACTTCCTTCTTTGGAAATGCCTGCCTAGACTTGGGGTCTGTCTTGTATCTAGCTCTGTTGTTATGACAAGCTGGGTGGACACAGTGGGGTGTGTGTGCTGAAACACAGGAGGCCCCTGGCAGCCCAAGGAGAAAGCAGGCTAACTTTGGGAGTGAGTGCAGGAGGTTACCTTGGAGTGCCACAGAACGAGGAATGGAGTTCTCCCCTTTGTCTGGGAAGTGTTCTGTCTGAAGGAGAAGACCCAGTTTAGTCTTCCGGCCCCAGGCGGAGAGCGAGCCCTTGCCTGGCCATCAGCGGACACACACTTGCTGCTGTCTGCAGAGTCATGGCTCAGCTCGAATGGGAGCTCTTGGTTGTTAGGGTGCACCTCTGAGGAACAGGACTCACTCGGGATCAGCGTGCAGGGAGGGAGGAGGGGATGGAGGGAGGCTGTGTGGAGGCAAGCCTTGAGTCAGCAGTGCGTTGTAGGAGATTAAGGGGGAAGTTGGTATTCGGGAGACAAAGGTGTGGCTGAAGTCAGTGTGGATGTGGGGATACAAGGCCACCAGTCTGGCTGCGATGGTTGGAAAGGAGAGTGGAAGGAAAGAATTCATGCAGGTTCCACGGAGGAGGCAGTGGGCTATTGGGACTTCTTGAGCGAGGCGACAAGAGAGGCTGATTTTCCTGCCAGGATTTATGAGCAGAGGGGCGCCAAGAGGCCACCTTTTCCCTTTAGATTTTGAGACAGGGTCCCACACTAGTTCTCAGGCTGCCGTGGATTTGTGACAGTCCTGCCTGAAGCCCTCCAGTGGTGGAATTACGGGCACGGGGCTCCAGGCCCGGCCCTTCTCTTCCTTTTGGCAGCATGTAACCAACAACTGTGAGCAGTCTGGTCTTAGGTGTGGTTAGGACAAGGCTGAGTCACACGTCTGTCCAGGAGAAAAGTGTGAGGGCTGGGTGTGTGCAGAAACGGACACGATGGGAAGCTTCCACGTGGCAGGGGGAGGGAAGGTCCACACGTGACCCCTCCCCCAGAAGGGCATCTGAGGGAGGGCACAGATCTGCAGCCTGGGGAAGCCTTACTCAGAGACAGCAGAGCCTCCGGGTGAGGGGAGTCCCTGGCAGCTGTTCACCTCTCAAGAGGAGCATTTGAGGGCAGGAGCTCAGGGTGAAGGTGTGTGGCTGTGTGGCCAGTACTCCTGAACCCATCACATCTGCAGAGACGAGGAGGAGCTGAGACGATCTCTGTCTGAGTTGGCCGACCCTAACCCCAAGGTCATCAAGCGGGTCAGCGGGGGCAGTGGCAGCAGCCCTTTCCTGGACCTGACTCCTGAGCCCGGGGCTGCTGTCTACAAGCACGGGGCCCTGGTTCGAAAGGTGCACGCGGACCCCGACTGCAGAAAGAGTATGTGGCTATGTGGGGGGTGGGGGGTAGGGGGTGGGTGGGGGGTGGGTGGGAGTTGGCCTTCCTCAGGCCACCCTGACCTGCCTTCCCTCCCTAGCACCTCGTGGCAAGCGGGGCTGGAAGAGCTTCCACGGGATCCTCAAGGGCATGATCCTCTACCTGCAGAAGGTGCGGGGCCAGGAGCGGGGTGGTTGGGCTGGCTTGGCAGAGGGGAGTAGGTGGCTGGAGATGGCCAGGCCAGGACGGGGCAGGACAAGATGGGCACCCCCATAGGAGGAGTACCAGCCTGGGAAGGCTCTTTCTGAGGCAGAGCTGAAGAATGCCATCAGCATCCACCATGCCCTGGCCACCCGAGCCAGCGATTACAGCAAGAGGCCACACGTCTTCTACCTGCGCACAGCTGACTGGCGGGTCTTCCTCTTCCAGGCCCCGTGAGTGTCTTCCTCTTTCCCATTCCAGACCCTGCTCCCTGGATTCCACTTTCCTTGGAAGATCACACTCCACGGGCTGGGGACATAGCTCAGTGGGTAGAGTGATTGTGTAGTATGCAGAAGGCCCTGGGTTCAGTCTCTAGCCCTGTACGTGCCAGACCTGGTGATCATGCCTATAATCCCAGCACTTAGGAGGTAGAGGCAGAAGTTCAAGGTCATCCTTGACAACATAGCCAGTTTGGGCCTAGCCTGGGATACTTGAGACTATCTCAATGAATGAGTAAATTAATACATAAGTAAGACCATATTCCAGGTTGGGGCTGGCATTCCTGGACAGGAACCTGGGGTCCCTATGCTGTCTCCCTAGGAGCCTGGAGCAAATGCAGTCCTGGATCACTCGCATCAATGTGGTGGCTGCCATGTTCTCTGCACCCCCCTTCCCAGCTGCTGTTAGTTCCCAGAAGAAATTCAGCCGTCCTCTGCTGCCCAGTGCCGCCACCCGCCTCTCCCAGGTAGTCCCGAATTGCTCAGTTCATCTGCTGACTGTGGAATGGGATGGGTCGGGATGCTAAGCTATACTCCAGGCTTGTGTGATCAGCTGTGTAGTATGTGGGTCACAGGAGGAGGGGTGTAGTGGGGATTGAAATCTAGCCCCTTGTTACAATTCACACAAAGGGCCTGTAGACTAGTGACTCTGACCAGGCACCCCTGGCTGTTAGGAGGAGCAGGTGAGGACCCATGAGGCCAAGATGAAGGCCATGGCGAGCGAGCTGCGGGAGCACCGAGCTTCGCATCTGGGGAAGAAGGCCAGAGGCAAGGAGGCTGATGAGCAGCGGCAGAAGGAGGCCTACCTGGAGTTTGAGGTGAGCCTCCCTGCCCAATGTCTTGGTGTCCCGCACATAGGATAAGGCTAGGGATAAGAGCATGGCATCCAGCATGGAACCCAGCTAGGTGACTGGCAGACTGCCTAATCTCCAAGTCTTCATTTTCTCTTCTGGGGATCAAGTCTAAATTCCACAGCACTAGGGTTAAGTGACATGAATGTTCTGCCTCCAGCCCTGTATGAAATGCTGGCTGTCACTATCGGTGGTTCGAAGAGCCCGGGGAGGGTCATCGACCTCTCAAAGATGTCTTTTAGGACCAGCATCTGCTGGCTGGGTGGTGGGGCGGAGTGGGCCGCCCGGGACAGGAGGGCAGGCTCTCACTGCTTCTGGCCTTCTGCCTCAGAAATCCCGCTATGGCACCTATGCAGCGCTGCTTCGAGTCAAGATGAAGGCAGCCAGTGAGGAGCTGGATGCCATAGAAGCGGCACTGGCCCAGGCTGGGAGCGCGGAGGATGGATGCCCTCCGCCTCACTCCAGTCCTTCCCTGCAGCCCAACCCCACCAGCCAGACCCGGGCTCAGCGTCCTGGCTCAGAAGCCCGGGCTGGGGCAGGCAGTACCAGGCCAAAGCCCTGAGCAGGGAACAGGATCAATGGGGGCAGTGCCCGCTGGGCACCTGCATGATGACATGGCCCTGCCTGAGCTCAGCTAGCCTCGGGCCACCCACGAGGGCCTCCTGGCCCAGGGCCCGACCGCGCCGGACGCGGTGTCCGGGGCAGGGCAGGGCTGAGCCGGGCCTCAGAGCCTAGGCAGAGGGCCTCTCAGAGACCCCCCCTTTTGTGATAATGTTTTGCACTTTTTCGTACAGGAAGGGTGGGTAGGGTGGGAGGGGCCCGTGCCCCTAATTTTTGATTGGGGGTTTTCTTTTCTTTTTGTGGGGGAGGCCTGATAAAGTTTCCGCTTTCTGCTGAGACCACCCCCACAGACACCAGCAGTAGCCCTTTGTCCTGGGGCCTGGTTCAGACAGAGGCCAGGAGTTGGGGCTGAGCTGGTCCCCCTCTTTCTCCCCAAGGGCTCACCTCTCTCTTCACAGAGACAGAGGAAGGGTGTCCACACTGAGGCCCCATTCACAGGTTGGGGTGGCATGCCGCTCCCCTCCTTTGGTGGGCCCTGCCCTTTGTATAGCCTCCACCCTCATTAAAACTGCTCTGAATTGCTGGCTGGGTCTCCTCTGCACTCACTCAGGGGCAGGGATGGGCATCACATTGGGGTTGCCGTACCGTAAGTTGGGAAAGGGCCTTCCCCTTCCCATAGGAATCCTTTATTTGGCCCACTGAGGCGTGGGCTTGAGGTGTTAAATAAGATTTTGACTAGGCAGGGGTGCTGTACAGAGGGACCTGGCAGAAGAAGTCGGCCGGGCAGCATTCAGTGCACCTGAGGCTGGGGGTGCCCGTGGCAGAGCCCTCCTGGCGGCTCAGGGGGTGGGCACAGCTTCTCGGCCTCCTGCTCCACGGACTGGCTCCCGTAGGCGCTGTCTTCTTTCGCCTCTGCTGGGGGAACAGGGGGGAGTCAGGCCTCAGGCCTCCCACCCTCAGCCCAGATGCACCTTCCAAGCTGGTCCCTTTACCTGTGCTGGGCAGCTTGTCTCGGGTCTCAGGATCTCTCAGCAGTCTGACCCCCTCATGTAGACCCATGTCCGATAAGGCATCCAGCAGACCCCCCAAGTCCCCACCAGCCAGCTGATGGGAAAGAGGAGACAGGAGATTGGAGTGACGGCTAGGGTGTGGGGGAGAAAGTCCTGGGGGAGGAGGCTCCGAGATGGGTAAGGCCTCTAAGCCGGGCAGGGTACAGACTACCCCACCTTGTAACTACGCAGGAGGCTGCCACTGGGCGAGGGGGTCTTCCTGTATGTGTCCACCAGACTTCGAAGCCCCAGTCGCTCGGCCAGTTCTGCCCAGCTGCCTTGGGCTTCTGGCCCATCTAGCATCTGCTCCAGGTTCTGCAGGGCTGCATCCCCTAGTGACAGCCCTGGCCCTGAGGAGACAAATACAGATCTGTGAGGTAGCTCCAGAGGTGGGCAGGGACACATACCTGGACGCAGCTTTTGTCCCTGGTAATGTGACAGACAAGGAAGACATCGATGGGGTATGGATGGCAGAGCAGGGTAGAGAAGGAGGGAGCCCTCGTCAAAGGCCTGAAGATCACCTCTGGGAGGAGGCGCCTGAGACTGGAAATGCCTGCCAATCATCTCACCTGTAGGGCTGGGTGGGGCCAGGGGTGGCTCCGTGGTGTTCCGAGCAGCATTTAACAGCAGAGTCTTCACCTGGGGAGAAAGAGTGGCCTGTCACCCCAGACCTTAAGCCAGTTCTCCCCAAGTCCATGACCTGGCCCACATCCCCAAGCCCAGGCTGTGCCCGGTGCCCACTTCAGTGTTTCCACTGCCAGGATGCCTCACCTTGGTGCTGCAAGTGAGGTCAAGAGGTGTATGGCCCCGGAAGTTTCTTTGGGTATCCCTCTCAGGCCCCTCAGAATCAGAGTCGCTCCCGGAGGTAGGGGGTGAGGGCAGAGGGCACAGAGGCTCCTCGTTCTCTGCATGGATGTCAGCACCTGGAAGAGGGAGGCAGTCATCAGAAGAGACCAGCGGAGGCCCCACACTGAGGACTCAACAATGGCCGGGAGGTCCCCTTTCTCTGTCCTGCCCTGTTCATACATAAGGATGAAACTTACCAGCCTTCAGGAGGAGGCGGGTGAGGGTTGGGGACCCAAGTCCAGCCGCCAGGTGGAGGGGTGTGTTTCCAGCAAACGTCCGGGCATTCACGTTAGCATGGAGCTGTGGGGCAGCAAGGAGTGACCAGCACGTCCAGGAGGCCAAGCCTTCCCACACACCTCCCACAGCCCTCCCGTCCCTCCAGGCTTCATTCCCACCTTGGTAACCAGATGGGTGACCAACCCCAGCTCCTCCATCTCTGTGGCTAGATGCAGGGGTGTTCGGCCCCCCTGCCTCTCTGCTGCCTCCACTTCAGCTCCACTGTCAACTAGCAGATCCAGGCACTCGGGGCTCCGGGCATGAACTGCCAGGTGTACTGGGTACAGTCCTAGAGAAACAGCACACTCAGCCTGCAGCTGTGACCCCCAAGGTGACCTCTGGACAAACCCTGACCAGGTAACCCCTACTCCTGTCTACTAATCATATACCCTTCTTGGTCCCCACCCTTGTCCCCAGGACTGGAGGAGGTGGGAAACTTACCTGCAAAATCAGGCATGTGCAATATCTGGGGCACGGCGTGGGCCCCACTGTGCAACAGAGCCCGCAACAGGTCTGGGGCTTCGGCACCCGCCCGGAGAGCCAGGTGCACAGCTGAGTCTCCATGCCGATCCAGCAGTGTGGGGTCTGCACCCACCTGCAGCAGGGAGCTCACCACCCTTGTCTGCCCAGTGATGACCGCTAGGTGCAGAGGTGTCTGGGGAGGAAGGCGGAGTGAGCCGAGCCCACCCCAGCTTAGTGCTCCCCACCTTCAACTCCTCATCCCTCACCAGAGGCTTCCCTCTTACCTGGTGCAGGTGGTTAGTGAGGTTGATGGCCCCAAGGTACTGGGCATGATAGATGACATGGGCTATCTGCTCAATGACACCAGTCTGCCCATGGATAATGGCCAGGTGCAGCGGCCTGGAGGTTGGAAAGTGAGACTTTGGTCTGGGAAACCCAGTCACCCATAGCATCATCTGCCCTCAAAACTCCGCACCTCCGTGGTCTTCTTCACTGGGGCCTGGTGAACCCTGAATGTTACCGTCTTAATCCTCGTCACACCTTGCTACTGTGCCCCTTTCACAGCTAACAAACTTGAAGGTCGGGGAGAGTACATTTCTTGAACACAACTAGAAAACAGCGAGGACCTGAGACCAGATCTGTCCGACTCTAGGGTTCGGCTCTTTGCAGTTTCCTCTACGGGCCCCAGTCTCTAGACCTGGTACGGGGAGACCCCCTGGATGTCCCTAGGCCACGTCCCTCGGGCAGCTTACGTGTCTCCGTTCTCGTCCTGGGCCGTCAGCAGGTGGCGCTGTCCCGCCAGCAGAGCGCGCGCGTCCGCGGTGACGCCGTAGTCCAGCAACGCCCGGGCGCTGCGCTGCGCCAGACCGAACAGGCGCGCGTTGTACTCGCGAGCTGGAGGGGACAGGGCACGTGGGCGCGGGCCAGGTCACCAGCCCGGCGCGCGCCCGCCTGCCAGCATTGCTGAGACGTACCTCGCCGCAGCGCGTCGGGGGCCTGCGGGTCGCCCTGGGGGGCCTGGGGGGGCGCGCTCGGCTCTTCCGCCGCCTCCCCAGCATCCACGCCCCGCCCAGAGCCGGCCATCTGCGCTCCGCCCCCTCCACCCGGGTAGCAGCCCATTGGGGCCGCGCCGGACTGGTAGGGGTTGTAGGGCAAGGAGTGGGGGAAAAAGCCGAGGCTGCCACCTGTGGGCATGGGCAAAGCTGTGAGGTGCCGGCCAGGACTCTCCCAGATTTCTTTTCTAACTTCCTCTTATCTCCTCCACCTCTCTCCCGGCCACTGGCACCCGCTCACCTCCTCCAGCGCCTCCATAACCCCCCGCGGAGCCCCCAGAGCCTCCACCCATGTGGGATCCGCCCCCGAAGGGCTGGGAGAAGGTGGGCAAGGCCTTCCTTCGCTTCCGCTGCACTTCCTCCTTGTCTAGGGGGAACAAGAAACGGGGTGTTAAAATCCAACACATGGGTTGTCGTCAAGCCCAGCCACCAGCAGCCACCTCTAGGGCGCCTCCAGCCCCTGGGAATCCTGAAGCCCGTCCCCACCTTCCACCAGAGGGTAATAGGTGAACTGTTTGGAGTCGGAGACATCCCCCCCACGCTTGCGTTTCAGCTGCAGGAACACCGTTACAGGCCTCTCTATCTTCATCTTGTGATAGGGCGGTGTCCGGAACACAATGGCATACTGGGGTGGAGGTGGGAGAGAGACCTTTGGTGTCAGTGAGAACTTTGCCTAGTTTCTGCCTCCAGGGCAGGCCCTAGTCCCTCAGTACCTGTTTATGAACGTCTGTGGGAGAGAAGTCCCCAAAGGCTTGCCATCCATTCTCGTCATCCTCATAGAACCGGACCTCAATGTCATCTACAGAGAAAAGTGAGGCTGAGCCACGGGGAGAATCTGCAGACCCCATGCATTTATCCTGAAGTTGCCCCGCCCCCAGCCTTACAGTCAGTGTTTCTAGCTCCAGAGAGGCCTGCCGCCTCACCTTTCTGCACCTTATCACAAAGCAAATAAACTTCGTCTCCACCGCGCACAGAACCCGCTGTTTTGTCCATTCGGGAAATCTTCAGGTTTGAGGCCCCTGGAGACTCTAAACGATGGGAGATGGGTTAGGGCCACCCTGATGGAGCCGGGGGCACAGGATTCTTCATTCACCAAGACAGAAGCAACACTCAGACTTGCTTAAGGCCACTCATCTCCCATGTGGCAGGGCCAGGTTCGCATTCCACAGACTGAAGGTATCCCAAACGCTCCTCCGGGTCCTCACACTGGGCACCCCCGGGATACTCACTGCTGTCATGGATGGGTTGGGAGATAACCGGCCTCAGAGGCAAGGAGAAGGAGCCATCGCTAGCTCGAAGGAAAGCGGAGAAGCGTAGCCGCACGATGCTCAGATCCATGACTTTCTTCAGCTCCTTGGCCTCCTGCTCTAGCTCCCGGCGCTCAGCCTCTGGATGGACAGTCTGGGTGTGAGCTCTGGGTTACTCTTCCCTTCTCCTCTTGAAGTACCTCCTGAGAACCCTTCATCGCCATACCTGTAAGGCCCTGAGGCCTGGAACGAAGCCGCTGCCTTTGAAGTTTTTGAATCATAATCTCCATCATGTTCTTCTTGGTTACATGCAGGACACCCAGATTATTAAATCTGGTGATGAGGAGGAGGAGTCAGGGGGCTTTGTCCATGGAGCTCTTGCCCCATGAGGCAGCCCCCCCACCCCACCCCGGCCCCCCGACAGGCTCAGTCTGGCTTTGTCCTCCAAGAAAAGTGTTCCTTTTATTTTAGCCCTGGGATTCTGGGGCCAAAGTAAAATCTCTCCCTTTGCTAGTCACGCAGGTGGGCTGGGACCTACGACTAGCAGGCTGTGAGCATCCCTCTGGGGCCCAGGGACGGGGACACCTACTGAGCAGTCATGTCCTTGGGTCCTACAGACACAGCACAGACCCCCAGCTCCGAGCACTGCTTGCCCACCAGACTGTGGGCATGCGCACGAGGTGGGTCACTGTGCGTGACGAGGTCCACCTCAATCTTGGCTGGTCCCTCATAGTTACAGATCTGAGAAGGGCAAAGGACTGTCAACAGTGGCCCTCGACACACTGTCCCCCAGCCTACCTACCCTCCAGCATCATGGGAACTCACCTTGACAGTGGGATAGGTCTTCCGGCCCTTCTCACTGGAGGCACCTGGCAGGCCTCCATGGGAGGGCCCTTCACAGCCATATCGAAATCTGAAACCTCGCTGAAGGTTCCATGACAGAGACATTGTGGTTAGGAGAGACCCCCCCCCCCCCCAGTGCAACCACTGGCCATCACTGATCACAATGACCAGCAGTGTGTCTCCTGAACGCCTCCCCACAACAGACCAGCAGCAACCAACCATCCATCCAATCACAGTGGCTTCCCCACTGGTCAGTTCTAGCTACCCCACTTGTCCCCAAAGCTGAAGCCATCGCACACCTCTGTGGCTCACTCACCTGCTTGGGCTGCTCCACAATCACCAGATAGGGGCTATCAGCTGGAAATAGAGGGGCTTTACTTAGCCAGGATCCCCAAGCCCTTCCATCAGGCAGAGGGTACATGCTCACTCCCCTCCTGGTTCTGGGACACCTGAGGCTAAGGACTCACTGACCTGTCTCTGGGGCTGGATCCTTGGGCTCCCCAATGGAGGGGCTGAACTCAAAATCATAATCGGGGATGCCATCCAGACCCTGGTTTACAGACAGAGAAGGTGGCTGCTCAATCTGAGCCCTCTACTTCCAGGCTCCAAGCCCTCAGCAGTCACTGGGCTCCTCCTCAAGCCATAAGGAAGTTCCTTTCTGGGCAAAGTTTGCAGACAGGACAGATGGACAGGCTGAGACAGTCTGAAGACATGCAGAAGTAGGGGAGTGGAAGAGCCTTCGGTAGACAAGCAGAAGAGACACGGGCACAAGCCGGCTTCAGGGCCAGGCAGTGTGACTCACTGGGTCGTAGCAACTGTCCATGTCTCTGGGCTAGGCCCCGCTGTGTCTGGCGGCTTCGGGCCCTTGTTCGGTTTCCCAGGGTTTCAGACGCCCGCCTAAAGTGAAGAGAGACGCGGGAGCGGGGAGAGGGGGAGAGATCAGGATAGAGGCGGGCAGCAGAGGGGGCCCCAGATTTGGGGGAGGGTCTGATCTCCTCCGGCCGCCGGTCCGGGCGTGGCGGGTCAGATCCGGTGGAGGTCGAGATCCGGAGCGGGGCCGGGCCCGGGAAGGGGCAGAAAGTTAGTGCTGCTTAGGAAAGTCCCGAAAATACCAGGGGGAGGCGGAGCCGGAGGGGGCGGGCCTGGAAATGACGCCGGGGCCCCGCCCCCGCGGCGGGAGGGGCGGGAGGCCCGGGCTGTTCCTGGTTCCCCGCAGCGGCCGCAGCCCCCGGGGCTCAGTCGGGGCCTAGCCCGCCTCGCCCCCACTCCGCGGCCTGGAGCAACCTTGGGATTTTCGGCCAGCGTGGAGGACACGGCTGATTCACCCGGGGGCTTTTGTGGGGACATTCCTGCCGTCGGAGGCCTCTTTTCCGAATGGCCCGTAGGCGGGGGCTCTTCCAATGGGGCCCCCGGGGTTCTGCAGGGAGAAGGCGACACGAGCCGCAGGGTGGGGAGAGGAGTTTCCCCCTCCACGGTCTCTAGCGACTCCGGAACAGCTTAGCTTCCCGGATCCCCCCGCTGCACCTGCTCCGGGCGACCGGCCCTTGAGAGCCCAGCCCCACAACCATTTGTAAAACGCGTGTGTCCCTGACGGCAGTTTGCGTTTTCGGCCCTAATGTCTCGTGTGCGTGGTGAGTGCGAGTGGTGGCAGCATGCACGTGCAAGTGAGCATTCGTCCACACAGGTGAGTGAGTCCTGGAGCTGGTCGGTGTGGGCAGACGTCCGTGCACATCTGGATGCTGGTGCTCAGGCACTGGTGCCCAGGTGAACTTGTGGCGGCGTGCGTGCGTGTGTGTGTGCGTGTGTGTGTGCGTGTGCGTGTGCGGGGCTGACACCCGGCGGGCTGTGCGCAGGCCAGCGTAAGGGCAGGCTTACGTGTCAGTGTGTACCAGGGTGTCCTGTTCGTGTGCGCGCTCTCTGGAGGTGGTGTCCAGCCCCAGACTGTCACCCAAAGTCCCTCCTCCCTCCCTCTCCATTCCCCGGTCACTCAGGGGTCTGGACCCGGCCACTCACCGTGGTGGCGGCTCTGGTTCCGGCTTCTTTCCGAACCCTACCCTGGACCGGTCGCTGCTCCTCTCCGGCGACAGGGCTCCGGCCGGGAAAGCCCCTTTCTGCCCCCCGAGGGGGGGAATTCCCGTGACGTTCCTGTGCGTCACTCCTCAAGCCCTTTCTTTATTGGCTGAAAGTTTAACTCCAGGACTCTTGTAGCCAACCCGGGGCGACGCAGGCGCGCCCCTTACGGGGAAGGCTCGCCCGGGGCTGGTGGCCGCCGGGTGCCACCCGCAGTCCTGCTGCGGAGCGGCGAGGCGGGACGGCGAAGCCAGCGCGGTGCGGGGCTCGGATCTCTGCACCGTCCCAGGCTTGCCCCGGACGGCTAGGAGCCCACGGGGCCGCTCGGCTCTTGCTGCGCCTAGCTCTTGGCTGTCTCCGAAACTGGGGAACCCCGGGGGAAGCGGGCCAGCCCCGACACTCGGGTCCCTCCGGACAGGGACCTCGATGCTGGGAAGTTAAGGGAAGAGGAAGGAGGCCGATCTTGCGGTCAGCCCCGGATTGCCATCTAGCGGCCTTTCTGGACCCACAAGGAAACGCTGGGGTCAACTGTGTCAGTTTCATGGCTTCTGGAGCAGACTCTGGGTTTAAAATGTATTCTCTAAGTGGCGGGTTCACAAGGGCCCAGGCTTTCAGGATGACCTGTTGGAGGAGCAGTGCTCTGGCGGGTGTGAGCGAGGGGAGGAGATGTTTGTCTGGGAGTCGCAGGCCTCGCTCATACACCACAGAGGTGTGGACTATTGGAACTGAAAGGCAACCAACCAGATGTGCTGATATACGCCTGCAATCCTGGCTTTCGTGAGACCGAGACAGGAGGATCCCCAGTTTGACGCCACCCTATCTCAACACACACGCACACAAAGGTGCCCAGAGTGTAATGTTTCAAACTTGCTCCAGTGTATGGCTCTCGGTTCGTGGATATTGCTCAGTGGTGCGCTTTGCATGTGTGGGGTCCAGCTACCATCATAAAAGGTGATGGGAGGCTGGGGAGGCAGCTCGGCAGTTAAACGTCCAGTACGACCTTTCCAAGGGGATGGAAGTTCTGTTCCCAGTATCCACTTGGGACCGCTCACAAGTGTCTGAAACTACAACATCAGAGGATCCCATGTCTCTCTCCTGGACTCCTAGAGTACTGAATTCATGCACACATTTCCTATTCCCACCTCCACATCAAACCCCACATAATTACAATAAAAAAATCTATTTAAAAAGTCATTCTGAACACTTGCTCAACTATGTTTATAGCAGCATTATTCGTAATAGCCAGAACCTGAAAACAACCTAGATGCCCCTCAACCGAAGAATGAATAAAGAAAATGTACATATACACAATGGAGTATTACTAAGCAGTAAAAACAACGGCATCATGAAATTTGCAGGCAAATGGATAGAACTAGAAAATATCATCCTGGGTGAGGTAACCCAGACTCAGAAGGACAAACGTGGTATGTACTCACTCATAAGTAGATGTAAAGCAAAGGATAACCAGACTGCAACCCACAGTTCCAGAGAAGCTAGCTAGCAAGGAGGACCCTAGGAGGGATGTATGGATCGCCCTGGAAAGGGGAAATAGATGAGATCTCCATGAGTAAACTGGGGATGAGGGGTGGGCAATGTGGGATGAGAACATAAAGAAATGGGATGGTCGAGCTGGAATAGGGACGGAGTCGGAGAGCAATGAAAGAGACACCATGATAGAGGGAGACATCATGGGGATAGGGAGAAACCTGGTGCTAGGGAAGTTGCCAGGAATCCCCAAGCATGACCCCAGTTTAGACTACTAGCAATAGTGGAGAGGGTGCCTGAGCTGGTTTACCCCAGTAATCAGATCAGTGAATACCCTAACTGTCATCATAGAGTCTTCATCCAGTAACTCATGGAAGCAGATGCAGAGATCCACAGCCAAGCACCAGGCCGAGCTCCAGGAGTCAAATCAAAGAGAGTGAAGAAGGATTCTATGAGCAAGGGGCATCAAGCTCATGATGGGGAAACCTACAGAGACAACCAAACCAAACTAGTGGGAACTCATGAACTTTAGACCAACAGCTGTGGAGCCTCCATGGGACTGGACGGGGCCCTCTGCATAAGCGAGACAGTTGTGTAGCTTGATCTGCTTTAGGGGCCCCCTGGCAGTAGGATCAGGATCCATCCCTGGTGCGTGAGTGGGCTTTCTGGAGACCACTGCCTGTGGTGGGACACTTTGCACAGTCTTGATTGGGGGCGGGGCTTGGGCCTGCCTCAACTGAATGTATCAAGCTCTGCTGACTCCCCATGGGTGGCCTTACCTAGTCAAAGGAGGGAATGGGGGCTGGGTTAAGGGGGAAAGATGGAGGGGCAGGAGGAGGGAAGAGAGGGGGGAATCTGTGGTTGGTGTATAAAATGCATAAAAAAAATCTTAATAAGGGGGCTGGAGAAATGGCTCAGAAGTTAAGAGCACTGGCTGCTCTTCCAGAGGTCCTGAGTTCTAGTCCCAGCACCCACGTAGTGGCTCACAACCATCCATAATGAGATCTGATGCCCTCTTCTGGTGTGCAGGCAGAACACTGTATACTTAATAAATAAAATCTTTTTTAAAAATCTTAATAAAAAAGTTTAAAAATAAGATAAAATTTTTAAAGAGAGAATAAAATAATATTAAAAAGATAAGCCATGCAAGGATGGAAAGTAAAAAAAAAAAAAAAAAGCTATCTGGAGCTGAGTGGTGGTGCACACCTTTAATCCCAGCACTTGGGAGGCAGGGGCAGGTGGATTTCTGTGAGTTGGAGGCCAGCCTGGTCTACAGAGCAAGTTTCAGGACATCCAGAGCTGTTACACAGAGAAACCATGTCTCAGGGAAAAAAATTAAATTAAATAAAAAGCCACACTGAAAACGACCTTGCACACTCTGTGACTTCTCGAACACGTATGTCTACAAGAGTTTACAACGTGAACTTCATGTGTGGGCCTCTGGGTGTCAGCTCTCCCTGCAGGAGCTGTGTGTGCATCTCCATTTCTGGAGCACAGACTCTTCAGGGCTCTCCTATTACTTGCCCCGATCTTTAGCACATGATTATAGACTTGCACCAGCACCAGGAAGGGAGTGGTATTAATTCTTATCTCCTCCACCCTTACACTGAATGCTTGAGACAGGAAGTATTTCAGATTTTTTTTTTAATGTTTAGTGTATTTGCATAGACTACAGGTTGGGCTTAACTAATCCGAATAAATGGAACTATTCATTTCAGATTAGGGGTGCCAACCTGTATCCACTTAACACTGTTGATGAAGCCAGGGCTCGAAGAGGCTTAACACAACCAAGCATAGCTGGGAAAGAGAGAGAATAGACTGATTTTTTTTTCCAAGACAGGGTTTCTTTGTGTAGTTTTGGTGACTGTCCTGGATCTCGCTCTGTAGACCAGGCTGGCCTCAAACTCACAGAGATCTGCCTGGCTCTGCCTCCCGAGTGCTGGGATCAAAGGCGTGCGCCACCACCGCCTGGCTGTCATTCCACTTTCAATGTAAGGATTTCTGCTTCTGCATAATGACTGGTCCAGAGAAGATGCATCAGAAATCTGCTCCATCCGTTTGTCAATAAACAGCGAGGACTACTCTGGACAAACAATGTCCCTACTTGCAGATGGAAATTAAGTAGACATATGCCATTTCTAAGTTCTGCTGAGGAAAATTAAGTAGGCAGGAAGATGAGCGTGAGTACTAGGAATTTCAGACAGTCAGGGAGAGCCGCTTTGAAGAGGTAACGTTTATACAGTGACTGGAAGGCTGGACATCCTGACATACGCCTTTAATCCTAGCACTCAGGAGGCATGTTGATCTCTGTGAGTTCAAGGCCAGCTAGGACTTTATAGAAAGACTCTTGCTCAAAAAACAAACAAACAAACAAACAAACAAACAGAAAAGACAGTGACTTGAACTAAGCTAGGGAGTGTGTCACCTTTTAAATCTAGAGGAGGACCATTTGTGAGTGGGGCTGAACACTGCAAAGGTCCCACATGAATGTGTGCAGCATATTTGAGGAACAGTAAGCCTGTGTAGATGGACAGATGGACTAAAGCAAGAATTTTGGGGACGGAGCTGTAGATCAGATTAGAGCACTTTTCTAGCATGAACAAGGTTCTGAGTTCAACCTCCAGTACTCTGTCTCCAAAAGGGTCAGGGGGCAGGGAATTTGGATGCATTTGTTTTGACTAGGATAGGCAGTGGGATGAAAATGTCATAGATTCTAAAAGAGTGTATGGTATACCAAGCAAAGGAGGGAGGCCAGGTCCCATAAACGGAGGCTTGGACTTGGAGGGTGGGGGGTAGGTAAAACATATACACATAGAATAAAAATAAACATATCTTTTAAAAAAGGAACTTCTGCCTTAATGTTGGTAACTTCAAATGCCTGTGAGTCAGTCACTTGAGTGGAAATGTTGAAGGAGAGTGATTCAGAGAAGTCAGTTAGCCTTAGAAAGTTGAAGCTGGGCACGAAGTCAATGCAATGGATGGTGTTCAATGCTTTGCCAGAGGATGGCATCACCAGAGAGAACAGAGAGCAGGTTGGGGGCTGGGGACTAAGCGCTGGATGCTAATATTCAGAGGTTGTGGAGATGAACTAATAGGGACCAGAAAAGGGCACATGGCCAGTAGGGTGGATGAGAACTGAGAAAAACCAGTGCCTCTTCCTCAGGGAAGACTATTTCAAAGTGCAGATGACAAACTGTGCTGTGGAATAATCCTTCTGTACACTGTGAAGATGTGGGCTCTCATTGTCAATAAAAAGCTGATTGGCTGATGGCTAGGCAGGATTTTCAGGGCAGAGAGAATGATGGGGAAGAAGAGGGGCAGAGTCTCGGAGTCAGGAGGAGATGCCATGAGAGGCAGAGTGAACAGGATGGTAAGTACATACATCAGGTAAATGAGCCTCGGGGCAGTACTTAATAGAAATGAGTTAAATTATAAGAGCTAGCTAAAAAAACAAGCCTAAGCTACTGGCCAGGCATTTATAATTAATATTAAGTCCCTGTGTGGTTATTTGGGAGCAGCTGGCGGGACAGAGCCGACTGGTGGTCCTGATGAAAAACTCTGCCTACACAACTGTTGAGGTGACCATCCTTTTCTCTAGGGACTCAGCTACTAGTTCAGCTCTAGGGACTAGCTACCCCTGGTTCTATCCCCCTGGTCTCTAATATCTGGCATTCGCTTTCCAAATTACCAGAGGCTTATATTAATTATAAATGCTTGGCTGATGGCTCCGGCTTATTATTAACTAGCTCTTACATTTAAATTAATCCGTTTCTATTAATCAATGTATTGCCACAGGGCCAAGGTTTTACTGATCCTCTGGCATCTTCTTCTTGTGTGACTGAATCGAGTCTCTCCCTTGACCCTGCCCCTCTTCATCTGAGTCCTCAGTTTGATTGGTCTGCCTAAGCTTATCCTGCCTCGACATTGGCCAAATAGCTTTATTATCAACCAATGAGAGCAACACATATTCACAGCATACAGAAAGACATCCCACAGCAGGGTAGGGAGAGGGGAGAATCTGGGAGGAGTTGTGGGATATGAAATATAAAATATGCTGTATGACATCCTAATTTAAAAAAAGCACCAGATGCGTTGCTGTGCATGTGCAATGCCAGCACTTCTCAGGGGAGACTGGAAGCAGGGCCTGGAAGCCTGAAAGCCAGAAGCCAGGTGTAGTGTGGAAGAAATAAGAGACCCTGCTTCAACAAGGTGTTAGGATAGAACCAACTCCTAAAAGATGTCTCATGACCTCCACATCCATGCCTGCATTCACACACAGATAAAAATTAATTTAAAAATGTTCCCATCTCCCAAAGCAGAGAAAGTGCCTGTATTCTAATAACTCTTAAATAACCCATGAGTCTGTGCTTTGTAACAAAGGGAAAAGCTTTGCTTACAGTAAATGCTAAGGAATAAACAGAAGAAGTGTTGGTGTCCAAAGATCACCACTGTCAGGTGGTGGTGCGCATGCCTTAACTCCCAGCACTAGAGAGGTGGAGACAGGAATATAAGGCAGGTGGAGACAGGATCTCAGCCCCTCTCTTGGTCTGAGGATCCAGAGAGATAAGAACTCTCTGGTGGCTGCTGCTCTGCTTCTCTGATCTTTCAGCTTTCATCCTGATATCTGACTCCTGGTTTTACTGATAAGATCATGCTTCATCTGGCATCCAACTTTTGGGGCACAAATTCACGAAAAAGCCCCTTGCCTGTGACTTTGCACATGGGGGCTCCTGC